TGCGGCGGTGGCGGCGGCGGGGCGGGCGGCTCTGCCTCCTCCCGGGCTGGCCTCTTCTCCTTCCTGCCCTCGCCCGCGCGCGGCCTCTGCGCCCCCGCCGCGCTCTCGAGGGGTCCCCGCTCGGCCCGCGTTCCCTCCTCCAGCCGGCGCCTCCCGCCCGCGGAATGAAGTCGCGTTCCCAGGGCGAGGCCGCGCCGGGCGGCTGACGAGACCACCTCGCGCTGTCAGCCGCCGGGAAAGTTTCCTGCGCGCTGTTTCCTGTCACGGTTTTGCGTTATCGAGCAGTCGTGTCATTGCGGGGTGCCTTTCAACCCACTGGCGCGTTTTGTAAACTTCATAATGGGAATGAGTAGCCGAAAAGACTTGTGGTGTGGCCCAGGGTGGAGACCCTGAAATCCCAGCCCTCGGGGAGGCTGAGGCAGGAAGATGGAAAGTTAGAGGCCAGCCAGGGCACTTGGCCAAGCTCCTTTGTCAGTTTTGTGTGTGGGTTTTTTTGTTGTTGTTGTTTTTGTTTTGTTTTTAAATACTGGGAGTGTAGCTCAGTGTAAAGGCGCTAGATTCAACCCACAATTCCAGGGGAAAAGTAGATCTTCTGTGTCAGGGTGTGCTCCGAGTGCTTTTATGCACCCCCTTTCAAAACAGGAAAATTCTTTATCTGAAGTGTCATGATTTGGAATAAAATATACATTTGGTAAAATACTGTTTTAAAGTCTAGCACATAGGGGCCAGGGAAATAACTCAGCAGCATAAGCGCCTGCCTGGCAAGCGCAAGATCTTGAGTTCCAGCCCGGTACCAAAAAAAAAAAAAAAAAAAAAAGTCTAGTACATAGTTCAAGTGGTTCTCTTGTTGCCCACTACAGCTTTTAAATGTTGGCGGGAAAAAAAAATAGTCTTTGCTTCTAACAAAACTTGTCTAACATATGTGAAGCTCTTTCTATGTTCCAGGCACTGCTCTAAACCAAGTTTTGTGTTTACCCTCATTAAATTCTCCTGTCCCATAGGTGAAGACACGGAGGTACAAAATTAGACTTCTTAGGCATGATCTGAAAGCTAGAAAATGGCAAACCTTGTAGTATTTCCTCAGATATGTCGTACCCTGGGTCACTGATTGCATGACAGCTGGAACATCGACCAGCTGGCAAATTGGGGGCATTTGGACTCCACCAAGAATGAAAACCAGGGTTCCTGTCTTCTAGTATTGTACCGATTGATAAATGTTAGGAAAAGGAAGTGGGCAAGTTAACGATCTTGTTCTTCTGTGCTAGTTGTCCTTCCAGGTTCAAGGATAAATTAGGTGTTAAAATTGTACTCTTTATTACCAGGTTTGAGTCTTTCCCAGTTCGCCCCTTTCTGGCCTGTTACTCCCCCGTTTGGCTGGGCTGGGCTGGGCTGGCCTGGCCTGTCCAGCCTCTGCTTTTCCGCCCTATGGCGGAGGTGTCTGTGGGTGGGTACCACAAGGCTCCTGAGATCTGGGTGCTGAGCAATGGGCAGGGAGTTACTCCACTCTTCTGCTGATGCTTCTGAGAAGGGGTAGTGGCAGAACTGGGCAAGTGTGTCGGGAAAACGTTAAGCAGGGAGGACTCCAGGTGTTGGCTGGGAACTACTTTTTAAGTCTCATACTTTGTGTCTTAGAATCGTGGATTTAAAAGCAGTCTTTCTGCAATCAGAAAGAAGACTGCACACTTGTACGAGAGATTTCAAGGATTATCTGAATGTTTTAAAAACAGCACCCCTGGCTTCAGACTCTGAAGCATGTTGGAGTGAATTTTATTTTGTAGATTTCTAGCTTCATGCTTAGAACAGTAGGTGATGTGCAGCGTCCATCGTCCTGTCTTGGTGGTCTAGAACGTACATGTGGGTTGTGGTCCTGAGAGCAGGGCACTTGGAGACCCTTTGGAAGGAGCAGGGCGGATGTGCCAGCCTAAGCAGGTGCCTCACACAAGTTGGTGAGTCCCTGTGCAGACAGCAGAGGAGAGAGAGGTTTTGGGGTTTTGGTTTTTGGGTTAGGCATGTGGTGAGTTAGTTAAGAAAACAACATTCGAAACAAAGATCTGTTGGTTCCAGCTCTTGGCTTTTTTCTTTTGTTTGTTATTGCTGGTTTTTTTTTTTTTTGTTTTTTTTTTTTTTAGAGCAAAGTGTACTGTATTAGGATCAGAAAATAAAACACGCCTTCTGAGAGGTGGGTACAGAAACTTCCAGAGACACTACTGCCAGTCTCCTGCCTTCCCCTGAATGCCGTGGGATTAGATGAATTGAGCTGGTGGTTTCTTCCCCAGGCTTTCTGTCCCTGTTGTCAGGGGCATTATCCCTTGGTACTTGTAAATAATTTCTTAGCTTCTTAACATATAGTTTGGGGCAGATAAATTTGATCTTAGGAAACATGTATTTCTATCATGTAGCCTAAAGGAAAGTATTTTTGACTCGTGTTATGAAATTATTTCTAGTGCCTTATTAAAAATTCTTAGCTAAGAATAATTTTATGGATCATCTTTTTTTTTTTTTTTCCGGTACCGGGAATTGTATGGATCATTTTTTAAATTTTATTTATTTATGTGTGTGTGTGTGTGTGTG